CCGGTGGAATCTATGTCAATGAGATTGAAGTTGGAGGAAAAGGGTAGGTGCGATTGAGGATCGAAATTCGAGAAGAGGACAAACAGAAGTTGTAATTCATATTGGAATGCAATTTACCCGAGTGTCACTGATAATCCATTAGATAGTCTTAAGCACGGTGTTTCGGACTGTCTATAGGTCACAAATAGCAAGACTGGTAAGTTCTGTAGAAGCAATGGTCTTTGTCTGTTTTGATGTATTTTACTTTACACTTTTTTGCTATGCTAAAGCCCTAAATAAATATTGCATTTTCTGCAGTGTGCACCATGCTAGGATATGGCGAAATCGTCCTGAACAGCGGTATTGCGACATGTTCTTTTCTTTTGGAACCCATAAAGTGCAAAAACAAACATTCAGTGAATGATTTTAGACAAGCCAGTTTTACATCATCGGTAGTCGGTATCTGAACAGTACACCTTACGGTTCGGTGCATACCAGTGATAGCAAAAACAATTAATCAATGTCTTACCGAAAATTCCTCTCTATCGTCCACAAAACGCAAATCGAACTTGGCACCGGAGCTCTCATATTCAAAACCGTCGCACGCGTTGTACACAGCTTCTGCTGTTTCTGCGCTGTCAAATTCTATGATTGCATAGAAGTACTTAAGCCGAGCCAGTTGATACTGACGGATGCGACGTCGCATGCTCAACGAAGCCTTCCGCCAACCAACGCGGTCTTCTAAATCGAACTGAATTTGATCATCCACGTCGGGATCCTCTGCTTCCTCCGACTTGTCCACCAGTTCCTTCGGTCCATGAACAGCTTCCTCAGCCAATCGTTTCATGCCGAATTCAGATGGGTATATCTATAAAACAACGTGCACAGAAAGAAGTAGGATAAGGAGCGATGAAAGAGAATAACAGTGAAAATAGTTTGTAATACAAGTTTAGTTTTTGTTTTTGAACAACCACTAACCATGCACTTTCGTGTGGCGGTTTTAGTTGCTCTCTTTTGACGCACCATTTGGACGAGACAATAAGAGAAAGACAGCAAGGTTGAAAGCAGAGTGCCTCCGAAGGCCTCAGTATGGTCGGGAGGGGGTGTGTTTAGGGTTGCAAATGACCACCTTTCCCTTGCACCTTGCGAAATTCTCCCATATCACCAAGCGTCTCAAATAGCCTCTGCTGAGGAAGCCCTACTCACTTCCTTCCTGTGGTGGTGTTTTCTCGTCGGAATGAGAGGACTAAAAGCCGACATCCGGGGCTATAACCGGGTTGGTAGACCACTGGTAGTTCACCTAGGGGAGTTGGCCAAAATCCCTAATTCCAACCCAATCAAGAGAAGGCGTACGAACCACACCCACGTCCTTTCGGTTGTAGCGATGGTCGCCGGCTCAATTGGACATTGAGGTGTGTTGGGCACATTGAGCGTTTGACCCCGTCCATAGGGCGTATGATTCGATGAACTGGACACCGGCCCCCAATGGATTGCAGTTTACAAACCGCCCGCTGCTTTTTGAGTCGGGCTTTGACTAGCCGAAGGCTCCGGTTGTGAATTGCACAAGAAAATTCGTCTGCCTTGGCCTGGGCAACCTGACATTATTCAGTCCACATGCCCATCATGGAATGTTTTCCTTTTTCATAAAGATTATTGTACTATGATTTGCTGGACACAGTTTGAATTCAGACGTGTTTAAAAATATATAAATATATATTAGCGTGCCGTCTACTTCGCAGATTGTTTCACTAACGCACTGTC